CACCTGTGGCTGGTGTCTGCCATACTATTAGACAAATCAAGTCTAGAAGCAATGTCATCATAGTAACAGTAAGTTACCGTGAAAAAACTACGTAATCCATAGTAACGATAACACCTAGCACCTGGATCTGGGCTTCCAAATCCTATTCCCCACTAAAAGGATCTGGAGTCCCCTGGAAAAACAGTTAATCCCATGGCTGGAGCAGGTAGGCTACAAGATGAGCCTAGAACAACTTGCAGGCCAGAAAATAAGAAAGTGCTCAACAACCACCACAAAATAATGGAAGTTATGACAAGGACATGCCACCAGGGGAGGGAGTTCCTGTTTGTCAACTCTGGGACAGCTACAATTCATTGAGTAAGGCAGGAACCCCGGAGTCCATATGGATAATAAGTAGATAAACAGGCAGGCAGGCAGGCGAAAGGGAAAGAGTTCTTTCTTACCAGATTGCACTTGAATATCAAGGGCCATTAAAAAAAAAAAACTTACTGATTTTTCCACAAGACGAATCCCACTCTACCTCTTCCCATCCTTTAATCCACTCTTTCCAAACACAGAGTACTTTTCAACTTCCAAAGAGACACTCATGTTCTTAAGAAATAAACAGAAAGAATGTATTTCTCGAGGTCACCATATTGGAACCAACTCAACAGTCCCACAGATAGGTGAATAACACAGAAATCGACCTTTCTACTCTTAAAGCTTAAAACTTATATTTGTTTCATCTGAGTTCCTTAGGAAGAGACCTTCAGGCCTCTCAACAAAAAAAAAAAAGGTCAAAGAACTGAAGCTCACCAGGTCACTACATTCAGACAAAGAGATGCCGGGACGCTCCTTCATCATGATTGTGTCCTTGCTCCTCCCGAGTTCCTGTTTGTTAAATCTTGTTTCATTTCTTCCCTGCTATATAAACCCCTAGCTTTAGTCCATCGGGGAGATGGATTTGCCCCGTCTCCTGGGCTGCAGCATCCGATGAAAGCCTTCTTCCTTGGCAATACTCCTCATCCCAGTCACTGGCTTTGTGTGGTGAGCAGCAGGCCTAGACCAAACCCCTGGTGGTTCAGTAACAATATCAACAAAAAAATTAATAAGGAGTTCAAATACGCCAGGTCCTAAGAGGCTGGAATAAAATCCCAGGAATTCTAATTTTCAAAATTCTGAAGAAATCACTAAGGAAACCTCTCTTTTTTTCCCCTTCCCCTAAATCAAACTGGATAGAACTCAGTCTTACTCTCTGTTGCTTTTTTTCTTTTTTTTTAAAGACATCGTCTCGCTCTGTTGCCCAGGCTAGAGTGCAATGGCGTGATCTCAGCTCACTGCCATCTCTGCCACCTGGATTCAAGCAATTCTCCTGTCTCAGCCTCCTGAGTAGCTGGGGCTACAGGTGCACACCACCACACCTGGCTAATTCTTTTTGTATTTTTAGTAGAGACAGGGTTTCACCATATTAGTCAGGCTGGTCTCAAACTCCTGACCTCATGTGATCCACCCACCTCAGCCTCCCAAAGTGCTAGGATTGCAGGCACGAGCCACCTCGCCCGGCCTCTGTTGGTTCTTACTCTGGCTCAGAGCCACCTGATCTCTCCATCTTTCTACTAGAAAATGTCTCCGTATGATGGTTATAATAAAATGCAGCCAAACCATGCACCTTTCAGGCCTTGGTAGCTAGCTTCTGAAACTATTTTTCTTTATTCCTCCCTTCCCTTCCTTTCTTTTTTAGAGGCAGGGTCTCCCTTTTGTACCCTGGCTGGAGTGCAGTGGTGTGATCACAGCTCACTGTAGTCTTAAACTCCTGGGCTAAAGCTATCCTCCCATCTCAGCCTCCCAAGTAGCTGGGAACACAGGAGCACTCCACCAGGCCAAGCTAATTTTTAAAATTTTTTGTAGAGATGGGGGTCTTGCTGTATTGCCCAGGCTGGTCTCAAACTCCTGGGCTCAAGCAATCTGCCTGCCTCAGCCTCCTAAAACGCTGGGATTACAGGCATGAGCTAGCACACCCAGCCAAAACTCTTTTCCAAGAACACTCCTTTCCCCAGAATTACTGTGACTGCTTTAGTGATAAAATACATCACATTTTCATTGTACGTCATTAACAAACTCTAAGAAGATAAAGCACAAAAACCATTTGGTAATCTGCTTAAAGAGACAAATACACTAGGCTGTTCCTTTTCAAATAATTATAAATCTGTAATTTATTGCAGATAACTTCTTAGGCATTAAATATAAAGGCGGGAGATGCTATAGCCCAAACGGGAAACATCTCATCAAACAGCAGCACTAAATACTCTACAACACAAAGAAGACAGACAGGCAGCATTTTTCCAATCTGCCTGTGAAATGTCATTAGGTTCTTAGAAAACACAGTACAAACAATGGTAATGTTACTAAAATTAATAACTATCACACAGCAAACAAGTAACACTCAGAAGGACCTAACCTTACACTGATTGCCTTTCCTCATTAACACTGTACAATTAAAAATGGTTAAGAAAATACATTTTGTAATATATATATTTTATGCCACAATAAAAAAAAATGAGGGGGGAGCCACCTGGCTGGTTTAAGGGAGTCTGAGAGACGGAGTCACTCCTGTTTCTATTTTCCTAAAACTTTGCATAATAATGTCAATTGTGACTTGCACATAAAATTTGGTGATTCTATTATTTACACTTAAAATTATTTATAGTGTCATCACAGACCCATACATCAAGGTCTTATTTGTAGCCACCAAGAGAGTTACAAAATGATTTTTTCTTTAAACAGAGTCTCAAGTCGGCTCACTGCAACCTCCGCCTCCCAGGCTCAAGCAATTCTCATGCCTCAGCCTCCAAAGTAGCTGGGATGACAGGCATGCACCACCACACCCGGCTAGTTTTTTGTATTTTTAGTAGAGATGGGGTTTCGCCATGTTGCCTAGGCTGGTCTCGAACTCCTGGCCTCAGGTGATCCACCCGCCTCGGCCTCCGAAAGTGCTAGGATTACAGGTGTGTGAGCCACTGCGTCTAGCCACAAAATCATTTTCTGAACATTTTAATAATAATATTAACAATGACTAAAGCTGAGTACTTACTATCTGCCAGGCACTATACCTAAGTCCTTACAGTAATCCTATGAGGAAGGAATTAATATTATCTGCGATGAAAGATAAAGAAAGTGGGATTTGAATCCAGGAATTCTAACTAAAAGGCACATACTATCAAACATTAAATCCACCACATATACATATGTATATATTCTTATTCTCTATCATCATAACCAATATCTGAACAATGGAATAAAAATAACAGCTCCCATCAACTAAGTGCTATACTGTGCCAAGCTCCTTGCATATTTTAACTCTAGTCCTCATAATAGCTCTATACATTAACTATTATCGTTGTCATTGTCCAATGACAAGGACATCACTGTCAAGGATACTAGGCCCAGCTAAATTAAGTGACTTGTCCAAAGCCTCACAGCTGTTGTGTGGCAGAATCAGGATTCAAATTAAGGCATGTTCATCCGCAGGCTGCCTTCCCCTTTCTTACTTATGAAAAGGAAAAAAAAAAAAAAGACCAAATGCTCTTATTTGGGTTTGGGAAAAGCGGATGGGAAAGAACAAGAAATTCGCAGGAATACAAGGATGAACTGCAACAGTTGAGCACCCAGGAGTTAAGCGAGCCCTGCCTGCAGAGTGCATTGTTTGCAGGGCCTTCCTGCTGGATTCCTGATGGTAGCAAATTCCAGGGCTCCAGACTGCAGGCTCAGCCTCTGACTAACACTGCAGTGATTTATTTGAGGATAAATACCTCTGTCAGTGTCTTATGACTGAACACAACAGTCCAAGCTGACTGGAACGAGTGGAATGCAAGGACGCTGGAGCTGAGGCAGCAGAGGCGGGAGCTGGGCCACCTCTCTGCGGAAGCTCTGCCTCCAAGGAGGAGCCCTCCCTGCTCTACCTTCCTGTGGGGAAACAGCAGTGCCCTCAGGAATTGGAGCATCTTGAATAATGAGGAAACACTGACTCATGCTGGAGTGAACGCTTGGGAAGGGGGAAGGAGGAGGACCTCTGTACCTGTACACGCAAAGCTACTCCCTGGGATACTCAGTGCAACCTTGTCAGGATTGGCAAGATAACTCCGAGAACACCAACTGCCCTCACCACTGTCCCCGCAGACTCTCGGGGCAGCTGGTGGGGTGTCTCCAAGTCCTGAAAACTGGGGAGAAGCCTCTCCCTTTGCGAGGAGGGCGTGTGCCGAGAGGAGAGTGCAAAGGGTTGAGAAGCTGGGTGCACGGAAGCGGGAGGCTTTTACAATGGAAACACGGTGACGTCGCACAGATTCAGAGACCTGTAGTTTCAACTTGTGTTTCACGAATGACAAAACTGAGGCCCAAAGAGTTGAAGCAATTCGTGTCAAGAAGGTAGACAGTGTCAGTGGCAGATCAAGGACTGGCTGGATGTGATGAGTGGCACCTTGTCATGAGCATAGGAAGCTGGCTTCCCTTGATGGGAGGGTCCCAAGTTTGTACCAGGGGCACGTAAGGTGGGACGAACGCTTCTCCGTGTGTACAATCCTAGACTCCTGAGTAAGAACGTCACCGACGTCTGCTCGGTCAAAAAGGTGCTGAGCTTCCCTTCTATTTGTCTGGTGCATAATGACATTCACTAAATGTTGATTCCCCTAAAAACAATCAATATGTACAGGCAAAAAAAAAGGGAAGCTTAGCAGACAACTACTCGACTACTCGCAGAAGCTCTAAGGGGACGTTAACTTCTATGGCGTTTAACAGGCGACAGGTCCTACAAGTAGGCTGGAGGGAAGTCAGACTTCCCATCTCACCACGAGTTATCAAAATGAGTTTACTACCTTCTTCTTGGCAGATGAGCAGTATTTTTATAAAAAATATCCTTTTCAAATAAAGTATGTAAATGATAACATCAGAATTAGCACAAAGTTGCAAAACAAATAGGGCCCCAGCACGGAGCACCCTTCAGCCAAAATAAGAACAGAGGAACTCACAGATGGGGGCTGAAGATGCGACTCATCTTGGAGACGTGGTCGTTGTCACAGTCTAGGTCCTCGTCACCTGGCTCCATGCTGAACTTCCTCTTGCTGGGGCTGATCGGGGGAGGGCCAGTGCGGTGACTGCTGAGGGCAGAGGCCACCGGCAGGGTCTGCATTCTGGGTTCTCCCCTGAGAGCAGCTTCACCTACGCAGAGAGAGATGATGTAGTCACCGAGCAGGAGAAAGGCCCCCATCTCAGTCCCCCAGGCTCCCCGCCCGCCCAGCCAGCCCCTTGCAAAACTACTCCCAGTGGAAAGTTTTTGGCAATGGGACGGGGCCGCCTGCCATCCTCTGAACACGGTTTGAGTGCGGTTAGCTGCCAACCATGAGACATTTTACATCAACGTGGTTTTCTAGCACAATCACTCTTTAGGGTAGAGTTTAAAATAAAAAGTTGCAGTAAAATAGCAGGGGGGGAGGCAAAAAGCATTTGCTGTAAACAATTTCAAAAGTTAATTTAAAACACCAAAGCATTTGCTGTAAACAATTTCAAAAGTTAATTTAAAATACCAACGGTCTTTTCACGTATGGGTATTCCACTCAATATGGACAGGAGAATGACCTCACTGCATTCATGAAACCATTATGCCCAACTCACTTTTCCTGCTTGTTCTGTTTTTTTTATTATAGTCTTGGTATTTAATTTCTTTTAAAAGAATGAGGAAAGTTTATGGGCTAATAGTTCACACGTTTGCCCCTAAAGTTAAAAGAAATATAAATACATCGTTTAACGGGAAATAAACTTTTAATTCTTATAGTACACTAAAAATTGCACATTAAAATATTATCAGCACAAAACTTCAGCATGTAACTTATCACAAGCATAATATGTAGGTCGGTGTAGTTCTGAAACATGTTTCGAAGTTAGGCAATCAAATTAGGGTCCAAATTTCCATTTGATTTGACATCTTGGTGTTTTTCATTACTATTTTAAAAGGTTTTGTACTAGGCAATCACTTTGTGCCTCATTGTGAATTAAAATAAGCATAGCCTTTCATAGTAATAAAGGTTGTATACCTTCTAAACTTTATAACGACGAACGATTAAGAGAAAACGTCAAACTTTCTAAGTCACATGGGGGGAGCACCTAAATTTTTCACAAATAACCCTTTTGTTGTACTGTACATTTTGGTCTCTCGGACCTGACCGATTTTGTTTCCATTTGGTCACAATTTGAGAGTAATACGAGGATAAAGTCAACTTCATCTGAGGCCTTGTGGTACCTAAGAAAAGGGATCTTTGTTTGCCACCACTAATTTTCATATCATCACAGATGTGTGGACAGTGTCAACAGGCATTTACTTCATACACATATGACAAATATGATTTTGTTGGAGAAAGGAGTGAGGAAAAACCCTCTGAATATTTACCAGGAAAAATAAAAACTTGGCCAATTTAGTCAGCAAGATATAAACTAGCAAACATACAGTGACCCATAATACACCTCCAGCCAGGATTTCTTTTAAGGATTCTGGCCCCAAAGCAAACTGGAACTTTCCATTTTAAATGAGATACCTAAAACACAGGCCCCACGCTGGCCTGCCACACTCAGAAATTCAATATGATCTTGGTTGGCCTATACTCGCTATTTAGTAACTTTTCATTTTAAAAAACAAAAAAAGCCGTGCTCATCTTTATACTTTCATAAATTAGAAAAATATCCTTTCTAATTATCTTGTGATACTTCCTCCTCCACAAAGAGAGAAGAGGGTGTTCCACGGGAAAGCTTCAGAAGCCCAAACCCAGCTAACTTTCTGGGAAGCCCTGATGATACCCCCAGGAACGCAGCAACTGTAAATCAACCCTCATCAAAATGGTACCAGCTGACCCTCCTCTCCACCCAGGGTTTCTCAATACCCCTGGCAGGATGCGAGAGGATGAGGAGTCCTCGGGCTTGGACCCCCAAGCTGTGGTCATCATTTCATTAGATGCCAGCTGTGTAGCAACAGGGGTTGCTATGGAAAACAACCACTACAGCAACAGACTGAAATCACTCCAAAAAAGGAGCCATCACTCATTCCACCAGCATACACTGTGACGTGGAAAGCAAAACCCTTGGGTTAAGAACAACATTCCCATTCCCTTCCCCAGTTTCCAACCTAGTAAAAATTCTCGTGCTTGTTTGCATTTTTAAGTTCATCCAACGGATGCACTGCTTATCTTTAAGACTAAATCACTGATGTCTAACACAGAAAAGAATTCCACAAGAATCCTCAGAAAACACTGGAGATTTGGGGGTGGGACTGGGGCTGGGGCTACAGCTACAGGCCCCATGAAGGCACTCCAGGTATCCTTCACCAGGGACTGTGACAGAAGCCTCCACCAGGTCCCCTGGAGACAGTGGTAAATGTGTGCTGTAGCACTTCAGCATCTCACTTTGCTGGCGCTGGAAGGACCGCGGGAAACACAGTTTGCCTCATTTGATGGATGAAGAAGCTGTGCCCCCAAAACATAGTGTGACTTACCCAGGATCCACCAGTTAACAGGTTAGCTGGAGGCAAGAACCCATGGCCTCTGCAATCAGACAACGCCTCATCGTAAGACTGGGCAGCCTTACACAAGGCTTAGAGCAAAGGAAAAGAACCTGCACAGAAGGTCAGCGACAGGTTCGTTCAATTATGTGCCTTTATGCATCTTTGGGGTCCCTCCCTAGATGGCCCTAACCCAACACTTGTATTTTAGACAGGAGTGGTAACAGCTGTATGTGTGGTGGGTTAAAATTATTTTAGTAAAACCGAAGCAAACATTTGGTCTAGGAGAAAACACACGTGCATTGCAATCTTGACTCTTCCTTTATTTAGCACGGGGTGAATGTGGGCATGTGCTTCCCCTCTCTGGGCCTCCCTCCGTACAACGTACAACGAGGGGTTAGACTAGCTAATGTGTCATGTTCTTTCCAACTCTTAGAATTACTGATGCAATTCTATGATCAACAAGTGACCAACCAACTAACCAACATTTACTAAGAAACTGTTACTTGTGTAATGGTGAACTAAGACAGCAAAACTCGAGGTATGTGCCTCAGATGTTATTCATCGAAAAAAACAAGGGTGACCCTGGGGTCAAATAAATTTGGCAACCGTGAGATTGAACAACTTTCACAGGAGTTTAACTACAGGCTTTTCTGTCATCTAATGCATCTCAGTCTCTGAGATGGAAACCCAGCAGAGCTGCTTTCAATACCCCCCAACCCCGCCCCTGCCCCCTTCCCCCCACCGCCAATCTGTTCCTAGTATTCCTCTTTATGAGCCCTAAAAATTTCAGCCCAAAAAGTTACACTAGACTCATCAACATTCCACAGAGAACTTGTTCTTCCCCAAATCTTCTCATTTAAGTTCATGCATCCTGCAAAACCACTTAAAATGCCTCCTCCATCAGGCCGTCCTTGATTCCTCCAGCTGAGAGTCATCTCCTCTTCCTCTGAACATCTATAGAAACTTATCACTCTGGTGCTTCCCTCCCTGCTTTATTTTGTGCTTCTGGAAGCAGGTGGCATTTAATTCATTGAATAAACCTGAGAGTGCAGAGCACACCACCTTCCACACAGTAGATGATCAGTGAATACTGACCTACTGAATCAATGAGGCAAGACGACAGGGCGGGCAGTTTACAGAGCTTTAGGATATGTTAAAGATAAAGGTGCTACAGAATAAGGAGTGTTAAAAGATCTATTTTAAAATATATGAAGAAGTCTTACAACAATTAAAAAGATAACAAAAAACAGAAAAGGATTTAAATAGGCATTTCCCAAGAGAAGATATGAAACTAGCCAATAAGCACATGGAAAGATACTGTATTAATCTGTTCTCACGTTGCTGATAAAGACATACCCGAGACTGGGTAATTTATAAAGAAAAAGAGACTTAATGGATTCACAGTTCCACATGCCTGGGGAGGCCTCACAATCACGGAGAAAGCCGAAAGTCATGTCTTACATGGTGGCAGATGAGAGAATAAGAACGAGAGAAAGGGGTTTTCCCTTATAAAACCATCAGATCTTGTTAAGACTACCACGGGAACAGTATTGGGGAAACCGCCCCCATGATTCAGCTATCGCCCACTGGGTCCCTCCCACAACACGTGGGAATTAGGGGAGCTACAATTCAAGATGAGACTGGGTGGGAACACTGCCAAACCATATCAGAGGTCCAACATTGTCAGCCATCAAGGAAATGCGAATCAATACCACAAAGAGATACCACTAACACCCATTAGGATGGTTATGATCAAAAGACAGAATACAAAAGTGTTAGCAAGGATGTGGAGAAGTTGGGACAGGTGTACACTGCTGGTGGAACTGTAAAGTGGCATTGAGAGGTGAAGCCAGCTGGACTTGTGGGTGGGGTGGGGACTTGGAGAACGTTTGTGTCTTACAAGAGGATTGTAAAATGCACCAATCAGCGCTCTGTGGCTAGCTAAAGGTATGTAAAATGCACCAATCAGTGCTCTGTAAAAACGCACCAATCAGTTCTCGGTAAAATGGACCAATCAGAACTCTGTAAAATGGACCAATCAGCAGGACATGGGCAGGGACAAATAAGGGAATAAAAGCTGGCCACCCCAGCCAGCAGCAGCAACCCATTCAGGTCCCCTTCCATGCTGTGGAAGCTTTGTTCTTTCACTCTTCACAATAAATCTTGCTGCTGCTCACTCTTTGGGTCTGTGCCACCTTATAAGAGCTGTAACACTCACCACGAAGGTCTGCGGCTTCATTCTTGAAGTCAGTGAAACCAAGAACCCACCGGAAGGAACCAACTCCAGACACAGCATGGCCACGGTGGAAAACAATCTGACAGCTCCTCAACTGATGAAACATAGAGTTACCATATAACCTAGCAATTCTAGTCCTGGGTACATAACCAAGAGAAATGAAAACATGTCCACACAAAAGCTTATACATGCATGTTCATAGCAGCATTATTAAAATAGCCAAATAGTGGAAACCACCGAAATGTCCATCAACAGATGTAAAAAATGAAATATCCATGATGAAATATTATGCAGCTATAAAAAGAAATAAGATACTGATTCAGCCACGGCACAGATGAACCTAGAAAACAGTATGCTGAGTGAAGGAAAGCAGACACAAAAGGCCACATACTGTCTGATTCCATTTCTATGAAATGTTAGAAGAGAGAGGCTCAC